TGCATTCCTTTAAATACACTAAAAAATTCTCCTGACTGATGGATAGTAAAACTTGGTTAACCTCTTGTAACCTCTTGTCTGTTTGCTAGGATGGATACATATAGCCATTTTTAATTCCAAGAGTTGCTTTTAATGTTATTTGGAAGCAGTTTATAACAAAAATGCTGCGTCTTTTGTCATGAAACAGCTCTTTGGAAATTATATCCACAGCCTTCAGCGTAGCTCTTGATCCAGAAAACTGCAGTGAAGTGGAGGTGTAAGTGCAAAAGTTGGGAGCTGGGTACCTCACATTAGACTCACAAATTCTCATTTCTTTTCCTTGAAAGTGAATGGATCAGTTTAAAAAAAAGGGGGGGGGGCAAGCTAAAATGCATATGTGTTTGCTTTCACTGTTGTTTCTTTTGTAGTACTTGTGCAATCTGAGCCATTCCTAAAAATGAAAGCAGTGCTGACTTAACTGCGCAAGGATGCATTTTTAAGGCTACAAGATCTGATACAAACAAAATTAAAATTAAGGACTATAAGGGCCAGATCTCAACAATTGTCTGCTTCCCCTCCCTCTTAATTTTAGTGCAGAGAGAGGGTGGGCAGTAAGTACCTCCCAGAATGCAGCCTTAGCAAGTACTTGTGTTCATTTGCAAAGACAACCGTGATGGGGATATTCGCAATAAAGTCACTGTTACTCTGCAGAAGCACACTTGTGTAACAACAGATGAAAAACACGCATGGCACAACTGTCAACAGATGGCTAGAAAGCTCCATGTCCTCCTGCTCCCACGAAGCGTCTGCTGCGTCCTGTGCCAGCTGCTCTTTGGCAGCGGCAATCTCTGCGGTGTTGAAACTGGTAACACCTACTGCTTTTCTTCATACCAAAGCACATTAGTTAGTGGAGCTGGTCAACTTGCCATGTTTTTTAACACACCAGTCTTGTTTACAGTGTCACATATAGCCTGACACTTCAATACGGTCGTGGATTGTCTAGTAACCAAAAGCTTTTATTTGGGGATAAGAAATCTATGGTCAAGGTTACTGGTCACTGAATGTTGCTGTGCTGATGTAGGCACCTAGGTAAGCGGAGGCATGGGGCATAGGGACAGACATACTAACAAGGAAAGTGCCTTGATGCTGGATTGGATGCCTAGTGAATAATGTAAACATTAAGTCAGATTTTACTATGTACTTCAAGTCAGTATGGCTGATTAAGCTACTGGTA